AGTAAATGCATTTCAAGCCACACACACACACACACACACACACACACACACACAGAGTGAACGTCGCACCCTGCATACGCCACCTCTCGACAGATGGAGCTGCTTCTGAACCAGATAATCCGTTATTGTTCGGCATATTTTTTGATTATCGTCACGGTTGTCATTTCCAAACCGTACGCAAATCGCACCCCCCCCCACCCCCTCAACCCCGAGCTTGATCCTGGTTTTACTGCTGCTCCCCAAGCTAATATCTTTTGGCTCACGGCCTGGAGTCAACTAAAATGAGAGTTGCGCGTAAGCTTCTCATTTGGAGACATTGACAACCCAAAGATTTGTTTTTGTTTAGGAGGATTTTCGGGGCGATTTGAAATGGGGTTCCAATCGTTGCTTTCCTGGCTGGTTTTAATCCACGGGGCCGCTTAAGATGTTGATATTTCTTCAAAACATCTTACTCGCGCCGATACTCTTCTTTCCGACGTTTTTTTTTTCTTCAAACTGGAAACCGATACAAAGATACGGTTTTGTGAACCGTCGCATCCGCTCTTCTTCCCTTGGAAATAAATCGATCGAAGCTGTTCTGCTAGTTGCGGCCCGTTGTCCAAAATATCGATCCGGGGGTGACTGTTTTTTGTTTTGTTTTTTTTTTTCCCCCGCGGTCCGCATGACGCCCCCGGGGACAATAAAAGACGAGTGAGATTAAGACAATTAGGGGGGTTGATTGTTATCCAAAAGACTAGAAGGAGAAGATTAAATGAGGGGATTTAGGTCAAAGTGGGCATGCCCGCCCGCCCGCAAGAAGGAGGGGCAAAGCAAAGGACCGGGGCCAAAGATAAGGTGGGAGGAAAAGGAGGAAGGATTGAGGTCAGAGAAACCGATCGCTGCAGCATGCGAGGTTACTCCGACTGAGGGAAGAGAGTGATCCTTGGAAAGACTTCATTGGATTGACCCCGAAGAGTACGACAGGTTGAACTTCACCCGATTTCCACACTCGGCACGCCTTGTCTGGAGAATTGTCTCGATCTGTCCGCACCTGTGACTCAGCATTGACTGGTCTTGTTTTTTTTGTTTTTGTTTTTTTCCCCTCGCCTTTTCTTACCTCTGTATCGCTGTCATCATCCCCCCCCACCCCCACCCCCCCTTCCCTCCCTCTTTTGAGAACGAGGCCTAATTAGCAGACATTTTTATTGATCCACTGGATTTGGTGCTGAAAATCCCCTTCGCTGTCTGCCAGACAGATCCGAGCTAAAGTCTTTCTCTATCTGGTGGTCTGGGAGATTGGGGGTGAGGTGGGGGGTGATGCTAGGCCCACCTGTTGACCACAAGCCAGAAGCGTGCTACACCCTTACATCACCCTTTTCTTATCCGCCGCCACCCCAGAGCCCAACCTCCAAATCCTTAAATCCTCTGTCACCCCTCAATAAGTTTTCATGAGCGCGACCTGACAGAATTTTTAATACCTCCGTTGAGAACAAATATTGTAAGTGCAAACGGCATCGTTTTGAAGCAAGGTTTTTTGTTTGATGGTTAGAGGGATTTTTTTGGGGGGGGCGGGGTGAAAATCGGAATAAAAATTGGAGATGGAGGATAATTCGTGAGGTCAATGAGCACTGGTTTTGTGTCTGCCTCATCATTTTTGTTCGACTTAAAGTCGCTGGATGTGGTGCCATGTCGCTTCACCCTCGAAAATTAGGGATCAGTGAGGCTAATTGTTTTTTTTGTTTTTAGAAAGCAACAACATTCAATTTAATTCGATACGATTGACACGTTCCACTCAGTGAAAATTTGTGTCGATAAAAGCAACCAATCAGAGCTGTGATACGTATTCCAAATCCAATCATAACATCCATATCAAATGCTGCAACATACAAGGAAGGAAAGTTTTGGAAATGTTTTTTTAAATTTTTTTTTTTTTTATACAGCTGAGCCTGAGAGAGACAAATGATGATGAGTGTGTCGCAAGAAATGTGGAGTTTTCTGGCTTGCCCGTCATCTTCCTTCCTCTTCTTGAGGGCACGCAGCCAAGATGACTTGTGAAAATTGTTGACAAAAGGCGACGCAATGGCTTTTCGCTTTGCGACAGCACCCGCAGTGAAATAGAGTAAACGTATCGTACGATGTGACTAAGTAAGTAAAAAAAAAAAAAAAAATGCACATCACACAAAAAATGATTTTTTTGATTGTAGAAAAGGCAGCATTTGTTTTAACCGTGAGTTATACAATGAGGTTTATTTATTGTTCTTCTAAGCAGGGATCTGTTGCAAATCAATGAAGACATAAAATGTGCAGAAAATTTGAGGAAAAGAGTTGATTCTGTTTTTTTTTTTTTCGATCAAAAACCTGAACACATCTTGCAGTATTTCCAAGTGGCAAATTACAGCGTGATTCGTGATTTGCGCTTCAAATTATGGCTGGATTGTACACGTTGAGCCTTTTGACCTGATGTTTCTTCCCTCATATGATAATTAATTTTTTTTTTTTCTTTTTTGGTACAGTACTCCAAAAATTTGGACTTGCTGCCAATATAACGTCCCTGAAGTAAAACCAAAGGTGAGTTGACAACGCTCTCCTTGTAAAATAAACGGCAGCTTTAACATACGATGACAATACATCTTCACTTGAGGATTTACCATTGCCCCATGAAGATAAAAAAAAAAAAAACTCACCAAACACAGACGTTTGTACCAAAACAACCAACGTAATAATACCATCTTACATATTTAAGGTTTACAGTCAGCAAGGATAATCCCCTTTGGTTAAAGGGATCTGACGGAAAACTAGGCTGACCGTTCCGTAAACAACAAGGCAGTTGAAAAGTGACTCGACTGTGCACGAGTGCGCTAACAAAGCATCAACAGCACATAATCCTCTCTATTTTTTTTTTTTTCTGCTGATCAGCTTTTACATTTGACCAAGAAATGGACGATGATCAAAGCATGACAACAACAATGGTATTGAGAGAGAAAGAGAGAGGGGAAAAAAAAAAGCTGGGTGAAAATTCCGAGGAAGGCAAGTCATATAAGGAGCAGTCAGAAATAAACAGGATGACCGGTTGCAATTCTTCCTCCGGCGGATTGTTTTCACTTTCATTTTAGTCGAAAGAAAAACGCCGCAGAACAGCACAACAAATGAGCAGAAGAGATCAATAGTTTTCCGAATGAAAGGCGTGTCTCCCCCCCCAACCCCTTGACGGACAGGCAGGCCTCAGTGTATTATAAAACACTCTTTATAAATCCCCAAATGAAATTCGATAATTGTCGAATATATATATATATATAAATACTGAAGGTCGGATTTAATAGCATCTGGTTCCGGACTTTTAACGATACATGACTTTTGTTCATGAAAACGATGAAACATAAAAGGTCAGAAAGAAAAAAGATCATCAGGATAAATGCGCAACCGCCGGGGGAAGAAAAAAAAAAATTGTCATATCAAAATGTCATCCCAACTTTATTACGTATGATGGTACCGTACTTGTATGAGGTTTGATAATAATTGCGCAGGGACGTGTTCCATGTGACAGTCGGCACGTCTTAGTTGCACTTTCATCATTTACTGGTTTCACATGTTGACATTCAGTCCGTAACTGGATTTCCAGCATTAACCCGACCGAAGCGTTCACTGCCCAGCGGTCAGACGGCCGCATCGTCAAGTGTCAGGTCACATCCCGTTGTCTAATTTTGCTGGTCTCAGACAGCTTCGGTCAAGCTGACCTCAGTTCTTTTCTTCACTTTATCCGTTCATCTCATCTGGACCGTCCTGCCCCCGCCGCGCCCCGCCCGGCCCAAGTTACCCAACAAGAGTTTCCCCTCTTGAAAAGTGTGTCTGGACAGCACGATGTGCCAGATATAATAAGATCTTCGCGAGTCGACATCGCCACTTGTCTCGGACTTTTGGAGACTTGAGCTTCTGAGCCCGAGCCTAGACTGTCTGCAAATTAGAGAAATTAGCCCAGTCGGGCCTCCAGCCAGTGAAAGACCCACACGTGCACGTATATAGACACACGCGCTCACACACACACACTCACACACACACGGACGGCCCCACCGCCTTCATCCCCCAAGCCACACTCCGCTTCGAGAATAAGCAATCTCACCATATGGCAGCCAATTTCCTATCTCAGTTAAGACAAGGGGGGCAATAAAGACACCGGGACGTCATTTCGTAACACTTTTAAATGTAGACTTTCCAACTCAGAGTTGTTATTATTATGAAGAGTATGAGTGACAATACCAAGTGCCTACAGCGCTATCATAAATCGTCTTGACATTTTAAAAGATCGAAAGCAATACATTGGAGGGATTTCTTTTCCTCGCTATTTATAACCGGCAGGTGAGCTGAATGCGTGCGCGTGTCTAAAAGTAAGCGGGATGCTCACCAGACAACATCTCTTAAGTCTCTTTTCCTGTGCACTTGGGTGACCTGGCCTACATCTTCAAGTAAGAAGCGCAAACTGGTGCACCGCTTGGATTGATTGCGTGCGAGTAAAAGACACGAGTACGGTGTACTTCTTGAGGAAAATATTAGCCTTCGTGTTCGCGAAATCCTCGGAACTGAAACTAGATGTGCATGAAATGTGTGTTTCGGACTATGTGTGTGTGTGTGTGTGTGTGTGTGTGTCCGCTTGGTTAAAGATGTTCTTCGGCGAGATATAGGTCAAGGAGATACAGTGGCAACAGATTGCTCATTATGTGCCAAATCAAGCCAAATTCTCCAAGTGTGTTTTCCAGTGGCAACAGTCCAGCCATCTGCTCTTCCTTTATTCCTTCATTATCATCCCGTCTTTGTGTTTGTATCTGCGCGCGCGTGTGTGTGTGCATGCAAGCGCACATGACAACAGCCACTCGCTCGACCCAAGTGTCCACCGTCACCGATGTTGTTGTCCGAAACCCAACAGTCAGTGTGTCAGATGGTTCGATCACGTGACCGCGGTGGCTTGCCATTGGCCGGGCGGTCCGGCTAAAAACGCTCGGCGCAATCCGGGGCTCAAGAGTTTCAGGTGACAGAGCACGGGAGGGGGACGAGTGGCCACGGGAGGATCTCAAAGAGAAGAGAAGACAAGAGGGGATGGCCTGGAACCAAAGAAACGATGGTCCAACAGCTGAATGAATGTGAACAAGTAAGACTTTCATTCTTGATCGTAGTCGTTTAAATTTAAGAAACGTTTGTGGGAGACGTGTTCATTTTTTTTTTTTTCTCCTCTAGATCCTGAGCTTTACTCAACATACCTAAGACGGAGGGAAACAACCCCAAGCAAACCAAAGCCTTAATCCATACCAAAGCGTTAGCGAAGCTGCTCGGCCACCCGCGCTGTATTCGGCGCCGTCCAAAATGAAGGTGTTGGACAGCGCACAGGGAGACATGAGCACTTGGCGGGAAGTGGACTTTGCTCTCAACTGTACCTACATTGTACCGGATCAGGTGTCGAACCCGAGTTTCAACCTGCCAAAAGCCATGACTTCCATCCCACGCAACCTATCGTTCGAATACGACAAAGATGAGGTGAGATCACTTTTAGTTCGTGCGAAAGATATAAAACGTGTTTTTCTGGACATCTGACAATTGCTCCTTATTATCCCCTGTGCTTCTTTCCACCATTCATTTTGAGTTGCATCCAAATTTTCGTCTAACTCGCCAACAAAACATTTGATGATGGAGTGTTTAAAAAAAAGAAAGAAAGAAACAAAAGCCTGACTTTGTCTTGAAACGCAGCGCCGCACGTAAAACAGACACGGTGACGTCAGAGTTCTTGCCGGTTGATCTTATCACACCTTGTTATGCTTTCTTGACAACAGCGCACACCCTCTTCGCCTCCCACAGATTCTTCCACTCAGGTGATTCACGCACTTTGCGATAACGTTTCAGTCAGCTGACTTGCTTTGACATTTTTTTATTTGTTTATTTTTTTTAAACAACAGCAAGAATGATTTCCTGGAGAGTAACGAGCGAAGGCATGCAAATTAATCTTCGCAGCGGGCCTCAAATGTCTTCTTCCTCTTTCCTTCTCATCCGAAACGTTGTCAACAATTTCCTTCTTCGAACTTAAATGTCGATCGGGTGAGGCGTTTTCGTATCATTAGCGGTCACAAGTCTTATTTTTTTGCATCTTCCTTTTGGCCCACACACACACACCCGTGTTTTCCGATGAAGAATGCCAATCAGGAAGCACAACTGTGATTTTTTTTTTTTTTTTTTATATAAAGGTCATGAGCGTGAAGCAAACTGGCTCTGATCCAGAGTAGTTTCCTTTCCTAAAATACGAGTCTTCTTGCTGTCGTCTTGTTGAAACTATTTTCCTGACTCATTGCTCTATTTGTGTGTTTGCAACGACCTCGGGGGGTGACTTCAGAGGAAGTCACAACCCGCACGTGCAAATTCTCACATCCGGGCTTTTAAGACTAACCTCACCGTTACGCTGAAAGTGGAAACGGCACTTGGACTCTTAACAGTTTTGAAAGGTCTCTTTTGTAAATTTCATCCAGGGAATATTTGTGAGGTTAAATGGTCGCTGATCTTGGGTGGTGGATGGCTTGGTGTTTGTTGGGGTTGAGGTCCGGGTTCTCCAAAGGGATGAAACCAAGATTTCCTCATCGTTTGTCATATCATTGGTCATCAAGATGAAAGATTCAAGGAGTCATTTAGGATCTTGTCTCTGATATCCGGCCTGATCACTTTTGTCGAACCAAAACGTTTTTTTTTTTGTTTTTTTTTTTAAATCTGAAGTGTTCCCTGGAAGCACGTGGCAGATGGGACGTGAGCGGTGAGTGCCAGTTAGAGGGGAGTGAAGGGGGTTAGGCTTTTGCGGAGCGCGAGTGTGTCGAAGAGAGAACTGGGCGCGGTGGTGGTGGTGGAGGGGTGGGGGTGGATTTAGGTTAAAACCAGATGATTAACTTTCGTTGGGAACATGCTAGCCAGCAAGGCATCAGGCCTCAACTTGGCAGGCACACAAGCCACTTCCAAATCTTCGAAAAGAAAAAAAAAAAAAAAAATTGGGGGATGGGGTGGTGAGTGTGATCGCGTGGGTATCCTCAAACTGGCCCAGCCTCCTTTTTTCGCGTTCTTCTGCACACTGCACGCGCACCCCCCCACCCCCTTTCCTCCCAAAATGACGCCCCCATCTCGCTTCCCCTCCGCCTTTCTCTCAACAACGTGAGCGGTTGAGCAGCGATAACGCTGTGGCGGCGGCGGCGGCACAGCGGTTTGTTAACCACGCAACGCTGGCTTAGCATAATGCGCCCTGTCACACCCGTTCATCACTTCCAAGAATCACCTCACTTGAACATACGCAGATACACGCGCCGTTGTCCCCGGTGACCTGTTCTTGCCGTAAAAAAAAAAAAAAAACACACACACTTTTAGGCTCTTTAATGACACTCCAAAGTGTTTGGTGATCGGTTCATGTTATTTTGTTTTTACGAGTTGACCTTTTCACGAGATGCTGCGGCTCATCGCTTTGAAGCGTCATTCCTCAGTGGCAGGAAGACAGAGAGTGTGTTGACTTATAGGGGTTAGTAGATTGCTTTTTTTTTTTGGGGGGGGGGGGTTCGTTTGATAGATGCAACACAAAGCTCCTGTAGACACCCAGGCCGAGTGTGACATGGATGCTGCAGTTGCGAGTGAGGTTGGACGGGTGGCGGATGAATTGCATCAGTTTTATGTTTTGATTTGAATATTTTTGGATATCATTATGTGGATATGGACCAAAAATTTAACATAAAACAGGTCAACTAATTGGTCTTTGTTATTTATTTATTTATTTTAGTATTATTATTTTTATTATTATTCCTATTTATTTATTTTTATGCACGTAAACTTTTCCAGATGATTTAGTTTTTTTGTGCTGATTTGGAATCTGGCCCGTTTTCTTCTCTTTCACTTCAGGTCTTTATTTTCATTTTTCTTTTCATCACAATGACGTAGCACGGGGTGTATTTTGTAATATGAACAAGCAACAGGTGGATTTTTTTTTCTTTTTAGGAAACCTCGTTGCGTGAATCACAACGCATGGTAAAAGGCCGTATTGCGCAAGGTTTAATCGGTCAACCTTAAAAATGAAAAAAATCTCAAAAACTTGATGTGCTTGAAAATAATTGACTTTTTTTATATGTAAAAAAAAATTTGTTTCGAGAGATATCAAGCCATCTCTGCTTAAATTCCACTGTTGACTAATCGTTTCTTGCGGTGCAGATTTTAAATGACAGTCAGAAAAATTCCATGCGATAATGGGAGGTGGTGGTGGTGGTGGGGGGGGGTTTGTGTGGGGTGGGGGGGGGGTTAGAATTGAAACGGGTGGCTTATCGTGCTTTCGGTTGGGTAGAACAGAGAGGTAGCGAAACGGCAAGTCAAACCGCTCCTGTTTCGTTTTTGCCACGCGTTGCGTTCCAGTGGGCAAGAGGTCAGGGATCAGTGGAGTAGTAGGTGAGAGAAAGTGTGCTTTAAATCCCTTCAGCGGCCGAAGTCATTCGTGCGGAAAGTAGGCCACCTTGGAGGTTTAAACTCGCCTTCTGAGCTTGTCTGGGTCAACGTGAAGAAAAAGCCGCACCGGAACGAAATGTGATGAAAAATGAAATTGTTGCCGGGGGATATTCCCCCCCCCCCCCAAAAAAAAACCCTCCGCCCTTTTTTTTATCCCGTAACTCCGCTTTTCGCTGTCACTGTTGTCATTTAAAAGCGGTGACGAGCACTGAATCATCTCCCATTAAAGCCGGTTTTAGATGTCTCACATGAAGTGTCCATTGCCATGCAGGAAACAAGTTTTTGAAACAAGGAAGCAAGGTTTTGAAAAGACCGTCTTTTTTTTTTCTTTCTTTTTTTGGCTCTCATCGCTAGTGGTACAGAATTTGAAAACCCAAAACCGTCATCACAGCTTTACTGGAACTTGCTGTGTCACTCAGGAAATGGAGTTATTCCCAAGTGAATTCCCATTCAGTCTCCCTCCCCACACGGTATTTCCCTTCCGGCTTTATTTCCTGTAACCCTGACGGGCAGAAGTGGGAAGCCACACTCATGAACTCAGTTACACCGCTAGTCAAGTTGATGCGTGTATAATTTGACTACCGGCCAAATGTGGTTTTTTTTTCTCCCCGGGGTGGGGGAAGTGGAACTATTTGTGACTATTGATAATGACGAGAGTGAAAGGGAGCGCTGAGAGAGAGAGAGAGAGCGAGCAAGAGAGAGTGACACAGCAAAACGGACACGCCTCCAAGCTTCAAATACAATGACAGAATCAAGCACAAACGCACTAGAGTGACAGAACACCCACGACACGCGCCTCTGCCTCCGCCGCCGCCGTGCCCACTTGAGAAGCGCTGTTCCAAACGGAGTACAACACACTGCACGTTAGAACAGAAGGACACCGAGGATACTTTACTGTACATGGCAATGGTGAATGTTTGGACTTTTACTCCCTTTGTAACTTTCTTTTTTCGCGCGGAACAGTCATTAGCTTTACACGACTGTATTTTTCCAAGAGCGGGCAAGTAAGGAACGTGCAAATATGTCGAAAATGAAAAATAAAACTAAAAAGGCGGTGAATAATGAACGCGAACTAAACCGCCTGGTGCATGTTTTTTTTTTTGAAAATCCGCTCTCCATTTTGGCTGGTTGCAGATTTATAGCAACGGGCACCTGCAGAACTTCATCGATGGCTATGACGTCCGCAGGAGCAACTGGATGCGTTACGTCAACCCGGCGCGATCGCTGAGCGAGCAGAACCTGGTGGCGTGCCAAAACGGCCGAGACATCTACTTCTACACAATTCGGCCCGTGGAGCCCAAACAGGAGCTGCTGGTGTGGTACAGCCAAGAGTTTGCCCAGAGGTTGTGCACTCAGCAGGAAAATACCAAACACAGTGAGTGTCGCGGTCTTAAGAAATACAGCGGAAATGAGGCTCGCTTTGATCATCTCACATATTCGGTGTCGTGACTGTCCCTTTGTGTCCCTTGATATCCATCTTTGCCGAAGAATGTGCTTGTTCTTGATCTTTCTCCCCTTTGACTATCAGATAACGATATCGAATGCTTCAAAAGATCTTGGACGCTGACTCACAGTCGCTCTGCTTAACCGGAAAAAAAAAAAAATAATAAATTCCCTCGCTGCAAAGTAAATGACGGCGCATTATTTCCATCGGTGAATATTTTTAGCCCTCACCCGGATGTCAAATTTTACTTACACATCATGTCCACATCTGCGTTTCGACCAGTAGTGAGAACAGAATGACGGCTGTTCAAAAAGTCCTTTCCGTATTTATTTATTTATTTATTTTTGCTATTAAATTCTGTGACGGCCATTTCCGTCCTCGGCATTGAATGAGTTAACCGAACATGACTGCAATCATCTGCTCATCCAGAGCGATTCTCCCTTGCTCCAAAGTCGAATGACTCACACCAATTGAATACACGAGCCATGTCATTATTTACCCCGGTGACTAATGCCGCAGCAGTTTAATTGCATTGTAAAGCGCTCACGTGACTTTCATTACAAAGTGCCTGCTTGCGCAACATTTGTGATGGCTCACATTTTTTTCCCCCCCGGGATATTTCATGACCTAATTTACAGTAGCTTCGAGGTTAAATCCGGACAAAGAATTAGGCACATTCTAACTTGTTAGTCAGATGGAAAAAGGGAAATCAGGGAATTAATTGCCCACCGCGTGGAGCGCGATTGGATTGTGAAACAGAAAATGGCCAAGCGCTGTGTAAATGATCCGGTAATTATCGGTTGCGAGGCGCTGACGTGACACATACGGTAGATAATAATTTTACCACCCAGCCGCGCTTTCTCTCTCGCTCTCTCAGAGCAACAAAACAGAAACCTAAAGCGCTCGGTTTATGCGTTATGAGTCAAACCCGATACGAGCGTTTACCATCACGGGAGTGGCCAATGTGGGTGGATGTGTGTCACAAGATACGTATGTCCCGCCGGCGTGTCATCATATGGTGTGAACTTGAAGGAAATAAATATCACCCGGACGCGAGCCGCAAAAAACAGCGCCCGATGTCAACCCGTTTTTTTGTGATTCTGCCGCAGAAAGCGCAAATGCGGACGACGAGCTCGAGAACGCCCAACGGCACCTCGCTCGGCAGATGTGGCCCACGGAGATGACCAAGGAAGAAGTGAAAGAGGAGAGGAACGATGAAGAAGTGGATGTGGAGATGTTGGGGAGAGACACCCCTCCGGATACTCCTGATGACCAAATCATGGACTTCAGCAAAAAGATGGAAAAAGAGGAGAAGGTGGACAGGGAGCAGCAGGATCCCGGTTTTGTTCCGTCGCCTCAGCTGGAACCGAGAGGGATGAACACCCCCCACCTGGCAGAGCACCTCCCGGCACTGTCGTCCGATCAACGGAATCTGCCCCTTCACCTCCATGGCCTCTACGGCCACAGGGAAGGCCTGGTGTCCTCCTACCCCCCGCTTTACCCTCAATCCAGAGCCCTCCAGTCCACCTACCAGCTCCTTCCTCCCTTCACCTCGCACTATCCTCGCCTCCTCCTCCCTTCCTACTCCCCTCCGTTTCCCGGAATGCTGCCTTCTCGAGGATCCGTCCGGTACAATGGCTACCTGGGCACGGACGGGATCCCGTACCCTCCCCTCAGCGCCCCCCATCTCCTCCCAATGACCCTGCCATACCCTCCGTCCCACCAGGGTGGTCTGAAAGAACTCACCCCTAACGTGTCCCCACCAAGAGGCGCCCCGGCCACTCCCGAGCTCTCTCCCGTCCCCAAGCCGATGAGCCGGCTCCCCTCACCTGAACGTACTTCCTCCGTCTGCGAGGAGGCGATCAACCTCACCCTGGACATCGCCAAAGGCAACTCGGGACTGCGCAATCGCCCCGGCCACAAATCTTTACCCTATCCTCTGAAAAAGCAGAACGGAAAAATCAAGTATGAATGTAACATCTGCTCAAAGACTTTCGGACAGCTGTCCAATCTTAAGGTACGGACTTGGAACGATCATCAGTCGATCGACTTTTTTGCAAAAGAGCTCTCCATCGATGACGCGGCCTTGTTTTGTGATCGCAGGTTCACCTCCGAGTGCACAGCGGCGAGAGGCCTTTCCAGTGCAACTTGTGCAAAAAGAGTTTCACTCAGCTGGCTCATCTACAGAAGCATCACCTCGTTCATACGGGGGAGAAGCCACATGAGTGTCAGGTATGTGGAAATGAACCCTTTCGTGCAACCCTGGAACCTGATCACACGCTCAGCGGTCCGCTGGAGTAACCGCTGTCCCTCAAAGGGTTGAAAAAAAAAAAAAAAAGGGCGTCTGTTTAAATGGCAGTCAACCACTTCCCGATGGCTGTTCCCCGACGGCATTTCAATGCTTTTGTTTGCATCCGCTGGATGGGCCGAAGCGCCGTCTAACAGAACAGGTTCGCGATAGAATGCCTGCCTGTGCTAAAGAACAGGAATAACAACGCTTTCACAATCTGAATCATGTCAGCATTGCGTAATACCACCTTGCGCCCAAAATAATCCCCACATCAATCTTTCCGTCGGCACTTAAGCTTTTCCGTCGCCAGAGGTACTTTGAGAAGTCTGTGACGCTTGTTTTTTTTTCTTTTCTTTTCTCTTCAGGTGTGTCATAAGCGCTTCAGCAGCACCAGCAACTTGAAAACTCACCTTCGACTCCATTCTGGGGAAAAACCTTACCAGTGCAAACTGTGCAGCATCAAATTCACTCAATACATCCACCTGAAGCTGCACCGCCGGCTACACAACAGCCGCGACCGCCCTTACCACTGCCAGCTGTGCTCCCAGGCCTTCTACCACCGTTTCTCCCTCCGCCTCCACCAACGCAGCCGCTGCCTGGCCAACTCCGACTCGGCCGTCGACGTGCACGTGACAGAAATGCTGGAACGCTTCGATGCCAGCCAGGAAGCCGACGCGCTGTCGGAAACGGCGTCGGCGCCGCAGCTGGAGGAGGCCGTGGAGCGGTGGCTCGCTCGCACCTTTGAAGGCGAGGGAAAGGAGGACCAGAAGGAGGCCAGCTTTCTGCTGAAAGCGCTCACCGCGGCGACGAACGCGCCCATCGCACCGTCGGCGGCGCCCGTTTCCCGGCGCGGCGCTCCGGCGGCCTACCAGGAAAGAGCGAGCGTCGTCCACCTCCACACGCATTCATCAACGGTGAAACTGGAGGGTCAGTGAGACGCAACTGAAGCAACCCGTGACAGGGGCAAAGGAGATTTAAAGATGTAAAGCACCACTAATAGAGAAACCAATGTCGCCAAAAGTAGCCTCTGTTTTTGACTGAAGAAGAGAAACACAGCGGGATTTTGTTTTTGTATTTTGTATGTCTATTTTGCAGCACCAAAATAAGAGCATTCCAAAGACTCCACTCAGTGATATTTTTTCAGACATGATAAAGATTGTGTTTCCTTCCGACAAATAATCCCAAAAAGAAAATTGGAGGGTTTTGTCCAACTGTGAAGTCAATTTCTTCTACTCAGGTAGTTTTTGAATGTGTGTTTGTGTGGGCGAGTGCGTGTGTGGGTGTTAATTTATGTTTTTCTTTATTTATTTAGCTGTTCATTTTATTTTTGGTAGACCTTAAAACAACTCAGGAATGATGTCGTAGTTCGTCACGCTTGCTTTACTTTGTGTTTGTTCTGCGTGCTGTTTGTCCAGGTGGTTAATTTATTTATTTATAATTGAACCAGGTTAAAAAAAAAAAAAATCAAAATTCTCATCGAAATGAGCATCTGCCAAAACATCTGGAATCGTTACACCATACCGAATCGCTTGACAAAAAAAAAAAAAAAAAACGAAATCCAGCCGAAAATTGTGACATCTGCGGATGCACTGATTTCTTCATGTTGACTATAAAAGTGAAAAAAACCAAAACCTGCAGTTTATCATCAGCACAGACAGCAGAAAAAAAAGACCAAAAAAAGACCAATTGGCTTTCGGCGTTTGATATAATTTTCTAGGTTTCTTTTTTTTTTTTTTGTACGAGGTTTCACTCTGTAGGGTTTTGGTTTTTTTTTCGAACAGGTTTGAGATTGTAAGAATTTATAAGTGAGAGACTATTTTGATTGTACTTTTATATGGTAGCGTAATAAAGATATTGTTTCTACAGTATATGTTGGGTTGGTGATGTTGCTCTTCCAGGACTTGGACTAAAACCAGAAGATGATTTTTATTAATATTTTTGTGGAGCGTCAACAGACTAAATTTGTGTCTGTTAAATTTGTCTGGCAAGGAAGCATATTCGGCTACTGGTCACGACAAGGCAGCGTAATTTACCTCAGCCATTTCCAGTCGTAAGGTAAACATGACATTCGGCACGACTATCAAGGCGATATATACAGACACACACACACACACACACACACATATGCTGAGTTTTTTTCTTTTTCTCCTTTCTGAACGTGAGTCAAATGTTTCGCCAACAAATCAAAATGTGCTCTTTCCAGTAATTCTCTGTCATAGTTATTGAGTGTTTCGGTTTTGCGTGTGATGACACATGTAAAAAAAAGTATTTCCTCTTACTTTGCGTGGGAGAACCCACAGCAGCGACACTGACACAAGTGAACCCGAGTAAAAATCTCAAAATTTGTAATCGGTGCGGTGCGCAACAATGACAGGAAGTAGTGCTAACTCTGAGCTGTCATGTCGAAAAGCAACACAAAATAGTCTTCATGTGGAAGTGAGACGGTGCACGCGGTTATACAAATAATGAAGGGAGTCTTTAAAAAATGTTGTTTTTTTTTGGGTGACCATTAAAATAGAGGAAAAAATTGCGGGGAAAGAAAAAAAAAAGTTTGTGAGACTGATGGTGGCAATCCAGAAACATGGATCTGAGTTTAAAATATGAAAACTGAATTGAGCCCAAAATATTTATCATGACATCGACTCAAAGTTCTTGACGGAGAAGAGTTTTTCCCACCTGACTTGGATGCAGGCGGATGCAAAAATTCCACACAGGAAGGCCGCCCGGCTGAGATTTGAACCCGCGATGTCTCGGATGCCGAATGATATCAATGTCACCATAGGTGAAACACTTTTTGATTCAACCGAAATTGGCCAATTCTGGACATCTCAGAGAGTCATGGCCATGAAAGGAATTTCACGAGACCTGTTCAAACGCATCACGTGTATGTGTGTGTGCCGGCTTCAAAAGAACTATTCTCTTCTTAGAAATGATGACAAGGCTTGGGTGATTCAGTGCACTATAAAAGAGACTTTGGGGAGGGGAAGAAATAAAATGAAAGAAGAACAAAAGGTAGTAGAGTACAGGTACTTTCACAGTCATTTCCTTGTTCACGTGCACAGATGAGGTTGAATCAGAGTTTTGTATTTCTTGCATCACACGTGCATAAAAAATAAGCATGTCATTGTATGATTAGGCTTCCGGCACATAATTAGATGGGGGACTTGAGTTTGGCTGCTGTCGCTGAACAAAAATGGTGTCTTGAATTTCCTCATTTTTAGTTTTTCAGGTGGGCGTACAAAATAAAATCATCTGGATCCAGATACAGTTCGTTTAAGTCGATGTTATAGTCCATGGAGGTTCAACAGGAAATCGGGGTTCATCATTTTTTCAAGCTGTATCTTTTAGCTCCAGAATGCCATTGTCTTGAAATGTAATTTTATCTTGCATAAATTCGAAACATGCGGCAAAGTCATTTCAGGAGTGCAGATAAAAGATTTACCTGCTTTGTGTGAGTCACACACACTTTACTTTCAGTTGCAGTTGTTTGTTAGCCAACAGTGAAAGGCCAAGCAAAGTACAGCCATGGGTGTGGCTGTGAAATAAAAACACACACTAGTTGGTCAGGGCAACCCCCTAAATAGGTCTAAAGGTGAAACTGTAAAGATAAACAGTGTAAATGTTCACTTTCGATAATTCATCTTGGGTTAAGGGAAATAAAATGGAAAATCAGATAAACTATAGAAAACTATTTCATTCTGATGCCATGGAAGGCATTGCCAGGCACACTGGGAGCAATTTAGAGTTGCAATGTCTTGCCCAAGGACACATGACAGCAGACAGTCACAGCCGGGATTCAAACTATTTACCCTTCGGTCACTGGACACACGCCGTGAATCCATTTTAAGACAAATCCATACGGTCTCTTTTATTTCTTCCGTTATTTATCCACCCAAGGTGAAATAGTGAACATTGACATCAGATTAATAAAATATTGACCTTTCTACCGAATGTTAGGGGACTGAAAAATGTTAAATATGTTCAAGACGTAAGTTTTTATCAATTCCACGACAAATAGAGAATAAAAACTCACTGAAGTCCGTGACATCCTGAGGTTATCATTCAATATAAATTGCTCCCCCAATAAGCAGGTTTTTATTTAAAGATTTATTCAACACGAAATATTAAATATTTTTCAAACTGGCAATTTTTTTATTGAAGCTAGCTTGTCAATCCTAAATTAGTTAGGGACAATGTGACACATTTATTTAAATAGTTTTACACTTGCGCGCTGTCTTTTACGGTGGTTGTGCTGTACGTAACCACCGACGGATGGATTGGGCAGTAGCGCCCCCGAGTGGCATAAAAGGACACTCGCATGCCAATGATGATTTGTTATGCGGTGGAATTGTGGCGCCACTGAGCGGTGGAATTTGGCACTTGATTGAATATAACAACGAAAGAGGCGCGACGTGATCAATAACCGCACAGTGACGTCAGTAGAGAGAGCATTTCGGGAAATACCTTTTTAAAAAAAAAAAGACATTTGACTTTTAAAAGCTACAGATCTTACGAGTACATATGTAGCTCATGGCACAAATGCACGATCCCCGGGGCATTGTTTCAACTGAGAGACACCATCAAATGCATATTCGTGTCTTCAAGCCAGACCCAGGCGTGAATTGAGTGACTGCCCCCCCCCCCCCCCCCCCCCTAGTGGGCGTGTCTTTTTCCCGTGGGTGTGAAGCGACTCACGCCACCTCCCGCAGTTCTCCACTAGAGGCTGCGTTAAGGGAAACTGTCATCTGACGATATCTGACAACAAAGTGCCATCCTTCAGGCGTCTCCTTGGCGCGCGCAATTAATTAATGTAATCGGAGTTACAGCGAGCCTCTCATCATCCTACGGAGCACAGCTCCGTCCCCCAAACGCGGTGATGGCGAAGAAGGCGCTGAGCAAAAAGTCTTTCAAAACTTTGTTCACCAAGAGTGAACCCAACCCGGACGAGTCGTCGGTGAAGAGCGCGGAGAAAAAAACGGACGAGAAGAAGAGGTTCAAGTTGCCAAAGTTGAAGATAAAGTCGAAGGGGAGCCCCTCTTTCCTGAAGCAGCAGGTGTTCAGGTAAAAGTTTGCACAGGTGTCAGCGTGGCTCGTTTGGGATTGCAGTCGTCTCTTTTCGCGAGGTAGCCGTCGGTCACTCGATTAGGAACACCTGCAGAATCGACCCTGACTAATTGAAAGGACGCTCGGAGTACACACCACGTGAGAGAAGCAGTCGGTGTTTTGCTTAAGGGTACAACCGTAGTGCTAACTACAGCCGTCACAATTCTAAATTGTTGTCAAACTGCAGAGTTTCTTCAACTTGTGGTCCTCAAGCTACCCATGTGTGGATACACGAATGCTTCATCTAAACGGCGGTCATATCGAGGCCATCCACCATCATCGCGAGATGCTTTCCACAAGCAATGATTTCGTTTTTGTTTTTTTTCTGGTAGCAGTGGCCTAAGCTTTTCATTGAGTGCTGGTCCAATAAATGTGTTCACCTCTGTGTATGAAATGTGTAGCCGAGTGGTGGGCGCATCTGTCTCAGACTCATGGAGGCCTTCTCTGGTAGCTGTGGCCTAAGCTTTTCATTGAATACTGGTCCAATAAATGTGTTCACCTTTGTGTATGAAATGTGTAGCCGAGTGGGCTTGCGGTGGGCGCATCTGTCTCAGACTCATGGAGGCCTTCTTGTGTGACGTTTGCAGTCATGCATGGAGCTCCAAAGGTTTACATAACAAAAAAAGCAAAACCAGAAATTTTTTGCTTTGTCCGTCCAAACATTGTCTTCATTAAGGTGGCCGCAAGCCACTTACAGATTTTTACTTTTGAGAAACTCACAACATTTGATAAGGTTTTTGTTGCACGGCCCTAAAACCGGATTAAAAAAAATGTACAAGGAAGCCAAAAATAAGATCCTTAAGTAAGACATAATACTGTGTTGGATCATGTCACAGAACAAATACTGTTGCAAACTTTAAATTCTAAATGTATACAATGGGTATAAAAAGTATACACACCCCTGTTCAAATGCCAGGTTTTTGTGATTTCATCCAAACATTGTCTTCATTAAGGTGGCCACAAGCCACTTCCAGATTTTTACCTTTGAGAAACTCACATTTGATAAGGTTGTTGCTGCATGGCCCTAAAACCGGATTACAAAAATGTACAAGGATGCCAAAAATAAGATCCTTAAGTAAGACATAATACCGTGTTGGATCATGCCATAGAACTGAAATACTGCTGCAAACTTGAAAAACAAACAAAAAAAAAAAATCAAGTCAAGTATCAAGTCGAACTTTATTGTCACATGTGCTGTATGTTGCACATACAGCACAGATGAAATTTCGCCAGGTTTTTGTGATGTAAAAAAATGAGACCAAGATAAACCATTCAAACTTACTCCACCATTGTTGCGACCTGTAACATGTACAACTCAATTGAAAAAAAACAATCTGTTTTGAGAGAGGAGAAATTAAAATAAACAAATGTGGTTGCACAAGTGTGCACACCCTCTTATAAGTGGAGATGTACTTTAGAATTTCCTTATCACGTGCAAACTCGTGTTCAGTGTAAGTCGGCACACAACTGCCACCATTCAACCACAGCAAAGTTCAGATGTTCTAGTTGGCCTTAACATTAAATGACAAAGTAATACAACACAACACATAAAACAGATAAATGAGACCAAGATAAACCATTCAAACTTACTCTACCATTGTTGCGACGCATAACATGTACAACTCGATTGAAAAGAAAAACTGTTTTTAGAGAGGAGAAATAAAACTAAACAAATGTGGTTGCACAAGTGTGCACACCCTCTTATAAGTGGAGATGTACTTTAGAATTTCCTTATCACGTGCAAACTCGTGTTCAGTGTAAGTCGGCACACAACTGCCACCATTCAACCACAGCAAAGTTCAGATGTTCTAGTTGGCTTTTCCTGAAGTCATGCTTTCTAGCAGACGCCTGAGAGTTTTGTGCTAGCGCTTGACGAGGATTTGGAACTGTTCATAAGTCCCTCCGCCATAACTTAGGTCCCACCTAAAAAAAATACCATTACACATTTTCTCCCAATGTTTACTTTAGCTGTGCTCAGAATTTCCTTATTGCGTGCAAACTCGTGTTCACTGGAAGTCGGCACACAACTGCCACAATTCAACCACAGCAAAGTTCAGATGTTCTAGTTGGCTTTTCCTGAAGTCATGCTTTCTAGCAGACGCCTGAGAGTTTTGTGCTAGCGCTTGACGAGGATTTGGAACTGTTCATAAGTCCCTCTGCCATAACTTAGGTCCCGCCTAAAAAAAAAAAAATACCATTACACATTTTCTCCCAATGTTTCCATGACTTTGCCATAAACAAGGCAGTCAAAATATTAGAAACGCCTGCACTGCAGCTCTACAATGGTGAAATTTACAACCACAATGATAAACATTTCAAGTGATGCCCCTCTGGAAGTGTCAGTCAAAACTGAGCAATATTGTTCGGAAAGGTTAAAATTTGAACTCTTAATTGGATCTCTGAGATTGTGCAGGTGTACCGAATGAAGGGGTATATCTATTAATGAGTTGATTCGATTCCCATAGACAGACGAATGGAGTAACAATGACCTTAGACATGCTTGAACTCTTTCCCGGTGCTGACTTTGTGGAAGATTTCACATGTCCCCGGACGGTTGCATTCTGAAATGTGTTTTTACTGGAGGGAAGGTTCAGTCTTGCAGGGCCCAGAACACTATTTGTATATATCATCACTGATATTTAACTAAATTATCCAAAATCGGAATATTTGCATGAATCGAGGTGGTATTTTACACGTTTTGACTGGATCTGTTTTGGGTTTTTTTTCCCACCTTCTGGGCATCGATGTACTCCACAAAAACAAACAAAGAAAAAAGATAAATATACTTTGTGAGTCAAACATGTGACAAAGAGTGCAGTTCTATTGGGATGAGTTTTTATTTGAAAGGTTGTTGGATGTATCGTACGTCAAGTGAAGTATATCTGAATTTGTTATTGGATGTCAGACATGAACGATATCGCCGCTGTCCAATTCAAGCAAGTGAGGACACAGCGCTGTGTCCAGCCTGAAGTGGAAAAGTGTATTTGTTGCCGGGACATGTTCGAGATGTTGGAAATGCAAAAAGCAATGCCATGGGGTTGTTCATCGGGTGGTTACAGGCGACACTGACTGGCAGTGTGTGTTTGCTTAGTGAAAAGACCAATAAATGATGGGTTTGCTCAAGAGCTGCATGCTTCCAGACTGGGGTAAAGGTTAACCACATACTTGTGCACTGAAAATGGTAATATTTGGTTCGGAAAGAATATATTTAAAAAACTTTCACCTTTACTTTTGTATTATCTGCATTTTTTTTATTATTATTTTATTTTTACTTTAATCCTTTCAGGGACAGCCGTTACTACAGTGGACAGTCTATGTTATCAGGTTACAGGATGCATGAAGGTTTTTTTTTTTTTTTAATGATGCATTTTGTTATTGTGTTCCATGACTCTGACTTCCCAAGACTTAAAGCAATAAACATTACGGTTTAGCATCTCACAATTTCCCGGGATGGTAAATTCTCACACCCACCAGTTCCCCTTTCAAGCACAAGTGAAACACACCCGGATGCCCCCTCGTGGAATTTGTAGCTGCCCACCTCAACCTTTGTATAGTCCGCTCAGTTTCATGAGCAAATTAGCAAGGCCGGCATCATGTCCAAGGCTCTGAACATGTCTTTTTTTGAGCAGTACTTTGCTATGTAATTCAACCACTTTCACCTTTACTTTTGTATAGTCTGTATTTTTTTTTTACTTTAATCCTTTCAGGGACAGCCGCGACTACAGTGGACAGTCTGTTATCAGGTTACAGGATGCATGAAGGTTTGTTTTTTTTATGATGCAGTTTGTTGTTGTTGTGTTCCGTGACTCTGACTTCCCAAGACTTAAAGCAATAAACATTACGGTTTAGCATCTCACAATTTCCCGGGATGGTAAATTCTCACACCCACCAGTTCCCCTTTCAAGCACAAGTGAAACACACCCGGATGCCCCCTCGTGGAATTTGTAGCTGTCCACCTCAACCTTTGTATATTCCGCGAAGCTTTGTGAGCAAATTAGCAAGGCCGGCATCATGTCCAAGGCTCTGAACATGTCTTTTTTTTTAGCAGTACTTTGCTATGTAATTCAACCGACGAAGTCAAAATTATAAACAGAGAAACATTGAGTCCCGGGCCAGGCCAAACGCGTGTTTACCGCGTGTTGCTGACTGATGGACGGGGATTGAAAGACAAAAAGTGAATGTCGACGGCTTGTCGAAAGCCCAACAATGGCAGCTGTGTGTGTGTTCTTATGTTTGCGGTTGCAGATTGTCAGGTATGTGTACGCCCGGCGGATACTTCATTCCCTACAGTTCCACAACCCCCGTGCTGTCAACGGGTTGTCAAATGTGATCCTCGCGAGACCTTCAAAATGTCTTGTCTATGCTTTCTAGGGACACGGCGTGACACGCGGAGGTCCTGCACGGACGTCCATTTTAAAACGAGTGTTGACGCGGTGCTCCATTCTTAGAAGCGACCCCAAAACGGCTCTTCAAAAGCTCTAATGAAGGAATAAAAAAGGCGAAATGGCTTGGAGCCACGAGTCGATAAATTTGACTTGTGCTCAAGATGTCAGTTTGCTATGTGGCTTCCTGGACCTTCCAGTTGTGCGACGCAGAGCAAGCAGCAGATGTGTCCATCAAATGACGGTTGTACGGATGCGGCCGATGTGTTGACAGCTTCTTCGTGTGGCTAAACTCTTGACCCGTTGTAGTTAAAGTCCCGTTTCGATGTGCCAGGTTCTGCTACAGATCCTGCATTCGAGCAATAATTCGAAAACGAATTAAAGATTGCATTTGGATAAAGTGAAATTATGTTATATCTAATACAGAATCGCATATGTTTCTCTTTATTTTTCTTTTTGGTAATGATTTTTAAATATTAGCCCAATGCTACATTGATACTTTGCTGTAAAAGTCACACTAAGAGAATATGGAATGCCGTTCCAAGGAACACAACGTCAATCTCTGTTTAGCCGGTTCTGATCAACATTCTCCATGCGGTGATTCATTGCCTGTGTTTCAAAAAAAGAATTGTGTCCTGTCACACGACAATTACATTTGCCATCCTGTTATTCTCTAATTATGCTCGGAGTTGTCGGTCGCTTGCACCATTATCAGTCAGTGTGTTTTGCAAAAAACAAAAAACAAAACATCTTACTCGATTGCATTGTCGTTTGATTGTCATATTCAACCAAAAAGTACAAGATGCATTCCAATGAAATGAAACAAGTTGTGCCCATGCCGAGGCCCGCTCCTAACTCAATTTCTTAGGTACCCACTGATTTTATTTATTTATTCCCCCCCAACTGACCTCACGATCCTTGAAAGGCGCTTATGATCCTATGCTGTGATGTTCCCCCAAAAAACGAGCATAGATCCAGTCAGGATGCTTCCTGTCGTTGACCCGTAGAAATGAATTAAAAATGGAATGACGCGAACTTATGACATCATTTGTGCAATTTTGTGATTCTCAGTCCTGCTGAACCCGCTACCAGTCCGGTGGATGGACCTGTCTTGGCCAAGACAAAATCATCAATATATGCCAGTGCGCCGAGGTCAAAGGTCAGTAAAGCAGTTGGTATCATTGCCTCCATTCTTTCTTGCATCTGACCTGGTAACATTTTGGTGGGCTTCAAATCAATCCATAGGTTCATTGGAACCCTTTCAGGGACAGCGGTCACTACAGTGGCCAGCCTATCATTTTATCAAGTTGCAGGTTATCATTATTGGTGCATGAAAGGGTTAAATTTGACAATGTGGGGGGGGAAAAAAAACAACTGAGCTGAACTTTGAGAGAAAATAAATGTACACAAATGTACAAGTGGCAAATCACCTTATGAACGTGCAGAGAACCCGATAACCACTTGATGAGTTCGTAATCCTGTCACGAATCAGGAACTTCTTGTTATGCAAAACATGTTCACTCTTCCCTTTTAATGAGGCTGTTTTTAGTCAAACAATACAAGAAAGTCATACCGGTGTTGCTGCGGGGGACAAGGAATAAGAACTCTTGCCATCTGCGTGACAGGCTAAATAGTATGGATCTCGCTGCTCTGAATGCGTTCAAAGTACCGTCGTATTTATATTTCGTCACCGATGCAAAATGCAATTTTTCGAGCTTGAAAGCGTTTTTTTATTTTGTACAGCTTGAAAGCATGGATTAATATTAAAGGTGATTATAGCCGCGCATGTGCCAAAAAGTCTGGCGTCACCAAATACCAGAACCTGTCTGTTTTTTTTTTTTTTAACCATCATGTCTTGGAATAAATCGACACAATGTGAGCGGTGTCCAGACTGATCCACTCCATCCTGTAGGGTTTTATATGTGATATTTTAGTGTGATAAGCACTCCCTCACTCCCCGCCAAAAATCTGACCAGTTTTGCTTTGTTGTTATTTCAAAACTACAATTCTGCAAGTCATTAGAAGAAGCAATTTGATTTGGCACTCAACATGCATGACGACTCAGTCCGAGAATCCATTTGCACAATTGCTGGGAACGTTCTGAATGCTAATCTAAACGGCGTTGTCAAAAATTGGCTCGTTTTCTGTGAGATAAAGATCTCCTTAAAACTTTCTGAGTTCTCAATCCCATATTTCAGCACATTGCCAGTTATTGGCCCAATCCAAATTGTGCATCAACACTTTACATGGTGAGTCTCTCATTCTGTCCAGAAGAGGGCGCAAGTGCTCTACTGAGCGATCGTGCTTGGAGGCAATCCGGCAAAGCTGCAAATTTGTTCACGCATCAAGCGATCAGCAGAATGTATTCATCTTGTGACGTGTTTGTTTACTCCGTGCCAATGGTGAACCTGTTCCCATAAATCAGCGTGAACTATGACTCATAGTTCCACTTGACATCCTGTTAATTTTATTTGATTTTTTCATTCGCTGAAGTTCACAAACGCGAACCCCGCACCAATTTGGCGTGACATAGAAATCGCATTCGAGCACATCGATCATACAAATAATGTTAAGACACTTTTTTTTTCATTTCAAAATGTCTACCGTGTGTACATACCGATAATTAAAAAAAAAAAGACAAGTGATGCTTCAAGCTCTACCTGTTATGATTTGTCTGTGTTTAGCATTTTATTTCGCAATTTACGATGCACTTTGATGACAGTTTTTAGCACTTCATTTTACTTGACAACCCATCCGTAACAGAAGGAAGAATTTGAGTAGGCACACCCCGGGGAGATTCTATCAGATGGACTCATTGTCATCAAGTCTCGTCAAAACATCCACAAATAGTCAACGCTCTCACGTCACTTTAATCTCAAAACCATTTCGGATTCATGTGGACCAGTCAGCCATGTCCCCCTCATATCATGCAAACTGTTTTATCGTGACACGTAACTGTCTTCATCATGATGAGGTCTACTTGTTTCCCAAATCAATCTTCATAATCTCCCTCCAAAACTATTCAACAGACAATTCAAAATGCCATCAATTAGGGGCAGTCCGGACCCTCGATATAAGCCAGTATTGAAGAAAATTGTTTTTTTGTTTCAGCATATCATGTTCCTTTCATCTTCGGGGTGGAGCAGTTGTAATGCTTGGAATGAAGACGGGGTGCGAGCTCGTTTTCCCGTGTAAAGTCTATTCAGAGCTCGGTGCTGTGGTTGAACAGCTTTCATTCCTAAATTAAGGCATTCCTCTCAAAGAAATCTTTTTTTTTCCAAGTCGTGTAGTCTGTAGTGGTAATCTGTAGTGACATGATTTTATATTTTGTCTTTTATACCACCTGTATCACAATCTCAGTCAGAATATAAGTAAACAAAGTTAAAAAAAAAAATCAGGGGGCAGGTATGGATGCTCTTTTCCAAGCGTTGCTAGCATTTGCTAGCCATGTATTTATTCTGGTTGCCTCTCCTTCCTAGGCCCAACACTTGAGCACCTCTGAGACCAATCTCCATAAGCCCAACAAATTTGCCACATTTTCCTTCAGTCTTCTGAAAAAGCAGAAAAAGAAGAAAGACGAGAATCTCTCTCGAAGCGCTTTTGGTCTCCATCGACCGGATATTGAAGAGCATAATGAGGTAACATTAGTTTTGTAGCATGTCATTCATCTGGAAAAAAAAAAAAAGTGAAACTGCATTTGTCAGGTGACAGTTTTCCTTGAATATTTTCACTAAGTGATACCGTTCAGTTTTTCAGTTTTTCTTGACGGTGCAGCCATCAGAACAACAACATTGTCGCATGAGCTACATGCAACTCTCATCAGACTTAATTCACGAGATGATTTTGTGATCTCCCCGTAGAGAAGCGTGGACCTCGGTTCGATGGCCGACGATCAGGGCAACCGAAGAGCAATGCTCAGCATGTCTCAGCCAGCGCTCGACACCAGTGACAACTTTGACATACCTTCCCCTCCCTCCGTACATTCCAATGTCTTAAAATCCTACTTGGCTCTCTCGCAACAAACGCGTCACACTCGTACCGCCAAGGCAGGACTTCGGGAACATCCGACGAATGGCTCGGACCTTCTCTTGCACGCTCAAGGTCAAAACTCAGCAACTGCGGATATTCCCGTTCAATCGGAAGAGAAAGAAAACAGTCCCGTGGACGGCAACCGGTCTGATTCTCACCTGAGCCAGCCCCCTTTACCGGATGCTTCATATCAATTTCCCGATGAAGCGGTCGGCGGCAACTTAGCCGAGGAACGCCGTGTTTTCCAGCAATCGATCACTGACATTTTGATCGCCCGGGCCGGCAATGCTCCACCGTCCCATCATGAAACGAACGTCCTCGACACGCTTGATGGTGGATCCCCAAATGATGAAGCTGATGCTACTGAGAGCGCTACGGAATCTGCTATGGTCCAACAGGACGTCCTATCGACTCACGGCGAAACTTCGGAGAGTGCCGACAAAACGTTGCCCGTTAGCAATCGTACCATCAGTCCGTCTGTCAATCAAGATGCGGTTTATGGCGCTTTGTATGACTCGCTGTTCCCCCGAAGTTTCACCAGCGAAGCGCTGTCTTCAGTCCCGACAAGTCATGCCGACATCTACCACGAGACCAGAACCGTCACCAAATCCGAACCCCTTGTGATTGAAACATCTTCACATTTTGAGAAAGAAACAAATGTTATTTACACCCAAACTTCGAGCGTCCCCGATAGAAATCCTACTTTTGGTGTTTACGACGAGCGGCCCTCCCGCCAGAGGTTTTACGCTTGCAATACGATCTCGAAGGACCTAATTACCCCCCGCGGCTATCAATCTTCCTCTTCCCGTCCCTCGAGCTATTCAGAACATCTCGACAAGAGTCCTTATTCAGTCCGCCCCAATGCAGGCATCAAATTAAACAATGTCGGTCTATGTGAAGAAACCTCAGCCCCCGTGGCTACAAACGCTGCCCTTCCTGTTTCTGACTATATAACAACCCTAGGGACAGACACTCGGGTTACAGACTCCAAACGGAGGGCGATCCTCGTCAAAGAGGTCGTGGCCGAGGGGGTGAGTCGTGATTCTGGATTTTTCTCTTCTAAACCAGACGAAGTGACCGCAGCAATAGGTTTGAAGAGAGAAATGGATGCGGATCAAGACTTTGTTTCTTCTCCCACCCCTGGACTCCAGAAGACTTCTTCTATGCCTTGCAGCCCGGTGTATCTGAGCGTAGGATCAGATGATGGGAGCACCGTGGACATCTATTTCAGCGCGGAGGAGGACAACATGGATAGTTTGGATGAGCAGATACACGTCGGGGACAAGAGAGAAGACGAAAGTTTTGGGGGTCCGGCAGAGGTCAGCCGCTTCGAGAAGGTGCCGCTGGTTAAAGAGGCAATTGAGAGAACGGAACATTTTGCGCTCCTTAGCTTCGGGGGAAGTGAAAGAGCCAACAAGGAAATGCAAGATCTCGAAGAGGATCGGCACAAATTCCAAAGAAGTCAGAGAGAAGAATTCCAAGTGCCCTTCAATGATAGAACCGAGTTTTTTCAAGCTGAAGAGGAGTTGGTCGCCCAGGTACTGCCACAGATAAAAGAACAGGAGTTACCGGTCACACCGGTTCTACCGGCGAAAACAGCGATGGTATGCGAGTTGGCTGCACCCTCCGGTAACATGCAGGGGCACGGGGCTGACGAAACCTGGATCAAGGTCACCGAAACACCAAAGTGGCCCTTAAGCGAGGAACGAAATCTGCCAGACCGAGATCTGCAAAGTCCCCGATGTTTGCTTCAGAACAACACCAGGCGGGAGGATAAAGACTTAAGCACATATCAACTCAAAGAGGCAGAGGAGAAATGTTTATCGATTGCAGTTACAGCTCAAGAAGAGCGGCAGGAGCATGCGTGCAACCCAAGTACCAGTTCGACATGTGCCCTTCTGGGCTCTCGCGTCGCCGAGGTAGACGCGAGCGTCGCGTCGCACGGCGCCGAGCTGCAATCAGACGCCGCTGCAAGTCGACACAATAGGGTGGCACGGGAGAGCGAGTGGGCGGATACAATTGCTGAGAGCGCAGGAAGCGGCGTGCGGCGAGACCAGGGAGCAGTTGAGCTGTCAGACCTCAAAGCGGACACACGCCATCCTCGGGAAGAAGCTCCGCAGGAACTCTTTGGGACGCAGGAGCAGCTACCAGAAGCGCAAGCTGACCTTAAAGAGCGGTAAGTGTACAAAAAAATTAAAATAAAGAAAACAGGTCGTCATTGTGTCTAGGCAAGTTTGAAGACGATTGCGAAAATCATCACGTGGTGCAGTTATTGGTGTGAGTGGCGGCTTGTTGTAAAAGTTGAAGTGAATTATGCCTACGTTGAGAATGTTTTTCGGCATACAACATGGAGCCGAAGGGATAGTCTTGCACCTGCAACGACCCCCCCCCCAGCCCCCGTCATTGTAAAGAGATACACTGCACATGTCGAGCCAAGGCAACGAGCCATGTGTGCCCTACTTTCTCATCTTACAGTGTTGTTGATTGATAAAAACCCATAAAGGTGTCAGCATTTCCTGTCATAAAAGGGTAGGGTAAGTATTTTGAACGCGTGGAGTTTGAACCTGCAGTTGATGCAGCACAACTCAACCATAATAGCTCAGATAATTGCATTATTCCGTGCACATGAACTTGGACAGGCACATATGATGCACGGTATGACTTTGGCGTTGGTATAACATTTTATTGGTGTGAAGGAGGTTGTGTTTAGAATAACAGCTGGTCAGCATGATTGCACGGAAGCTACTCCAACCGATCTTAAAACTGGTGCAATAGCTGAGAAACAAATTGGTGGAATGGCTGTTAATGCTGATAAAAGTTCAAGTCCACTTTATTGTCAAATGTGCTGTATGTACAGCACAGGTGAAATTTCTTTCCTCTCAACCACAGGAGAGAGAAAGTCGTGATTCAGTCCGTTCATTTATTTTTAACTTGTGTTAACATTATGAGATTTTTTATTTATTTATTTTTTTACATTACTAAATGGTCCTACGCCACACTTATTTTATCGTCTTTGAAGTCCTTGTATTGGGTTTGGAAGATAATTTGGGTTGGGAAATGACCATGATGCCCTTTTTTTTAGCTTTTTTTTTTTTTAGCTATTCTAGTTCACTGGTCCTCAACTGCTGTCACCCGCATTGTTGCAAAGTTGTGAGCCATTTTCTAGAAGTTTTGGGGGGTTTAAAAGTAACCTGTTAAAATACAGTATGTTTTTTTTTTTTTTAACCCCATTACAAATGCGTTTGACATCCCGCCAAAAACATCGCTAGCTAGCGATGGCGTATGCTAGCCAAAAGCTGAGCTGCAGTGTATTTGTTTATAGAGTAGCTAGTGAGTAATTTCCTGACATTGTATTTTCTAAATGTTATATGCGGGAACCCCGCAGTACTGTTTTGAAAATAATCTGAATACAAATTCACGTTTTTGTTTGTTTGTTTTTTTTAACTAGCTGGCCGCAACACTTTGCAAGTCACTGTTATAGTGGGTCCAAAATGTCTGGCAGATAAGGGCGGCTGGACCTCTCCTTAATATTCAATATGTAAAAAAGCTCTGAATGGATCACTGCTCTCCTTAAATCGATTGGTCGTATGCTATATCTCTGTGTCTGCGGTCCAAATGAAGTCACTCAAATCTGATCCAGTCTTTTGGCAAATCTTTTATCAGCTATTGCATTGAATCACCCGACTGTATAGATTTTCAAACTGAAACCAGGTCACCCGTATTTTAAACCATATGAATCATGAAATAGCGATTTGGGTTTTAAAGACCCTTTAATTTTGCCGTGAATAATGACAGAACAAGCCTCATTCAACAGGTTAGGAGCCTACGGCATTTTATTTTTAATCACACCTGAACTGTCGCGCTCTATTTGTCTCTGAAATGCAGTGAATGCTGCTCGGCTGTTTTCGAAAACGGAAATTCTGAGGCTCCACCTTTAGACACACACATTTGTAAACATAACCTCACCGATCCCATCACTGCTTCGCTATTACTTGGTACTTATAAAGCCAACGGGTTTGTTTTTGTTTATGAAGCGCAATTGAACAAAAAGTGAAAAGAGGAAGTGAAGCCAAGAGGGCTTGTCCAAGATTCGACTCCCTTCAGAAAAGGATCTGGAATGTAAATGATATAAAATGAAGACTGAACATGTGCCAAAAAGTAAATAAAATACAATCTCTAGACAGAGGCAACTTGCAAAGACAACATTCTTGGAGAAGAGACATTTCATTACAATAACGAAGAAGGAAGGAATCAGAATGTGAATGTGTCTTTTAAACCGGCGTATTCACAGTTTTGGTGTGTGTGGTGTCAATAGCTACACAACACACTGACTCGGTCCGCGTCACAGGAAGTACAATACCAGTGAAAGGTTTGGGAGCGGCTTTAAATTCAAATGGTCTCGAGAGGTCAACAAATTAAAGCATCAAAAGTCATTCCGTGACATTGATTCCCATTACGAAGCTGAAAAGGCTTGAGATGTGCAAAGCTGGCTACTGTTGTGGTTTGAAGAACGCCTTTAACGTTAGCAAAGGATCGCGTCCGTGTTGCCTGTATCGTCTGGAGGATCTCAGTTGTCATTTATACTGTAGAAAAAGAATTAAAAACACTGAATGTGAAGGCCTTTCCAAATTTTTGACTGGTACTGTGTTATGGAATGTACATTCCTTGGTTAGCATAAAACCATACGGACTCACACCGGACTTTAGTTGAAGTACAGACAGAAGACTGATGATAAAGACTTGGCTATTTTTGCCTTGTGTCTTTTGGTGTGTCCTGTCAGGAGAGGAAAAATGGAAAAAGTAGAGACTGAAATGTGCCCGAGTTTATTTAATATTTGCCAAAACAGTTGCGTTGTCATTCCTAATGCTCCTTGGTTTACGTTTGTCTGTCTGTCAAAATGCCATCTGTGGATCCTTTAAGCTTGCCGTAATTATTTTTATAATTTTTGATGTTGTGATGTCATCCAAGCATTTCAAAATACAAAACGAGAAAAAGATCATTTCCTCTGTTGACTAAGTAGTCAAAAGTAGAAATCTGTTTGGAAACGCCAGAGTAAAAATACATCCAGAAAATGATTAGGAAGAGTACAGAGAGCAGAACACTCCACTTGAGGACTCTAACAAAGTATTTGTAGCTACCTTCCTTCCACTGCCAACATTCCACAGACTCCTTAGAGTGGTGAGATGCAATTGTAATGTGTTTAATTACCACACGATGTCAGCAAATCCCTAATTTTTCACTTGAACGAGTTCATCGATTCTCAAGCAACAGAAAGCTGGGATAGTTTGTCAGAACCTCACAAAGAAACACCTGAAATTGGAAATTGTCAAAACGACTTTTTAGATGTTTTGGGGATTTTTATTAACAAGTAGAGAAATCTGTGTCATAGTGCTGATCTTAACTGGAAGACAAAAGTGCCCTGCCCCAGCCAACACACCATACAGGTTTCACCTGTAGCAGAGTCATGAGGTTAAAATGAGGAATTATACTCCCATACTTCAACACGGGGACATTTATCGATCCCATTTGAGCTCATTCCAGATGATTCTGGGCGAGAGCTGCTGTCAGTCTTCATTCTCTCCGGAGATTATTTTGTTTATTTGGCTACAAATGCTAACTGAAACCACAAAAATAATTTTTAAAAATTGACAGGAAGAAGAAGTCCATACTGTGCTTTATTGTCGTTTTGGGGTTCACGACCTCATTTCATAAGTTTAGTATGCAAGGATGGAATCTTAGAATTGTGTCACCGGCTTAAAATCCACTATCTGTCACCGCTGGATTTGTTTCTTGTACTTGAGTCATCTGTTACCTCCGTTCTGAAATCCCAACGCGACGTTGTGTACCAGCCTACCTCAGACACGAACGGAATGACAACTTTGCGGAGAATTCCTTCCCATGTGCCAAGCCACACCTTGATTTTACGGAAGCCATCTGCTGTAAGGGGGGAGCTTGAAACTGGTTTTGCTTTGTCCTGTTGACGAGGTGGTGACCTTGATGCGATAAGTAGCCCAACTAATCTGTGTCTTTTCACTCACCAAACGATTAATTCTGTCACCTGCAGCATCTAATGCCATCTTTTTTTTTTTTTTTAATTAAATTGCCTTGAAAAAAAATTGACTCAACAGTGATAATAATGATGCTTCATCTTTGTTCTCCGGATGTCTATTATTTTTGCCTAGCGTGTAAATATTTGACAAAGCTCTTGTGTTGGATTACATTACATAGTCTGATCTTGTAAAAGAAAGTGCGAAGTCCCGTGATAGCAGCCTTGCTTGTTAGCTGCTTTGGGTTGGTTTTAAAAATAAAAAAAGAGAGAATCATTTGCAATGCGGTACAAGTCTTAGACAGGGTGACGTGTTCTGTTTTGCAACACAATACACGTACAAAATTTTTTTTCTCAATGCCTGCTTGATGTTATGCGAGAAACAAACACATGATTTTCTGAAGGCGTCACATTGTTTTGGTGTCTTTTATATCATCACTCACCAGGAATATTAATTTTTGATCATCGACGTAAGATTATTGCAGTCAATGAACGCTTTCAGGGACAGTTTATGATGTCATCAAGTTACAGGTTATCATTATTGGTGCCTGAAAGGGTTAAAGGGGATGACACAAACTACCCGAAGTTCCGGAATTAGTTTCTGCGCTCTGAAAGCCCTTAATGTAAACATACTGTTTACATTGTTGTCAACAGCTTGAGGCTTCTAAGTCTCTGGATGAAAGTAGTCGTCAGTGCGCACATTCTTTCAGGGTACTTCCACGGCCTGTGACTGAAAGCAAAACAATGGTCGACATTTCATTGCTTCTTCAAAGTTTTTTCAGCTGCAAAACTGCATGACGTGCCAAATATGTCGACAAGACTTTTTACAAAAAGGTCCGAGCATTCCTTTAGTCATTCACTCATAGAAATGTGTACGTGTTAATGGAGTTGCTCTTTAGCTTATGTGTATTTACTGTAGATAGTCACTTTTTTGTTTTTCGTTTCTTCCAGATCCCCCACAGCACCTTCTGACACCTTTCATGCAAACGATCCCGAGGCCCACGCAGACCACCAACCCGATGACAAAATGTATTCAGGCTACAGCAGCCTGAACGCCACCCTCTCCATGAAAAACTCGCCCCCAGATAAACTGCATGAATCCGGAGACCGTTTCCGTCAAGTATCCCCGATGCGTGACAACGCAGCCCAGCGGGAGGCGCTGGCTTTCGGCCGAACGGAGTCAAACGGAGCAACGCTTGGTACGGAAAGCGTCCGGAAAAGTTCATTTGATGGTGTGTCCAGATTCATGCCCCAAGACGAGCCATTTTTGTCGGGTAATCAGAGCTACAGACTGTCTGACACCTCCTCCGGCTCCTACTCCTCCTCCGTTCTCCCCGAGGCTCCGTCATACAGCTACAGCGGCCAAAGTGAGTTTGGCAGACAGCCAAAAGGTAAGTGGGGAGGAGCTTTTTTTTTTTTTTTTTTTTTTTTTTTTGGTGGAGGTGTCTGCTGCACCTGCAGGTGAAAGAGAGAGATGGTGGGAGGGATAGGCAAGAGAGTCACGCCAGGACTCACAACCACCTTCTGTTTTCAGCCTTCCCCGCGGACGACACAGACGCATCCTGTTTTACTGGTGTGTTTAAGGCCACCCTCGTGGAGCTCGACGACCCAGCGGCTCCCGGCTCCACACCCCCGGCCTCCCCGGACGTTGACTGCAACCAGTCCGACATGGACAACCTGGTGGATACCCTCAAGAGCATGGGGCCCTCGTTGAGGCCGAGAGGCATGGGCCTGCGCGGGCCCGCCGGCATCCCCGTCTCCGCCTTGCCGCCCATCGTGGAAGATGCCCCCAGCCCCGTCACCTCCGACATCATCGCAAGCCCCACAAAGAGGACGGAAGCCGGACCGGCCGGCGAGGCCCGCAATGGAATTTTTGCGCTACCCGCCGATCTGGGCCTCAAGAGAAACACGAGCAGAGACACACGCTCGCCCATGGAGTTAATGAAGAAGGTATGACATTTTTATCTTGGGTGGAAGCATGATTGGATGTTACTTGCAGCCTAACCCGATTTACTCTCCCTCGCTCTCACGCTATATATAGAGCCTTAAAAGAATGCTGATCTATCAGTAGATTCTATTTTCTTACAATGTCGGTAAATTAATAACTGTCAGTGGGATTCAGTCAAGTTTGATACCATTCAACCACGACTAATAAATGAATATCTCCCCGACACTGTCATTCCAGATAGAGAATTCGTACCCTACTAAAGACATTTTACAGCTCTCCCGATCACGGTGATTTTTTTTTTTTTTTAACTCATCAATCATTTTGGAGAATATATTGTATATTCACAAGAGGTGCATCGGCTTGAGAAAAGAGAAGACAAAAAAAAAAAACATTCTGCTCAATAAATTCCGTGAAGGGAGAAAGGCATGCCCGGTCCTTTAATCTTCCCTGAAGGGAAATTTCATCCCTCAAATATTGAAAATCGCTCTGGTTTAAGAAATGAACCGACTGAGTGTTGTTTTATGATCCTTCTGTTTGACGGATTCCCAGCAGGAGCAGCCTGGACCAAGAGACATGCCCCTCAGAGCAACCGCCACCCAAAGTATTCTCATGAGGAAATCCTCCGATGCTTCAGATGAGCACAAATCCCTCAATGGGAACGCGACGCAGCAGCCGTCAAAAACCCGTCTGGAAAACAGCGTCATCTATGGAAGTTACAAATCCTCCTCCGTAGATCAAACGCAGGAAAACAGCAAATTCCATCGCTCGGTGTTCCGCTCCGGCTCGCTCCCCGAGTTGGGCTCTTCCAATATTCTGAAGGAGCTCAGCGAAGTCAACACCGCCACAGATTCATCATCCCGCTTTGAACGCTTATCTTTTCTCATCAATTCCCCGCCTTCTTCATCCAGCTTCTCGAGCGGGTCCGATGACGTCACCCCTCGCAGAAGTCTGCCCCTGCAACAGAACTTCACGTCGTCGGTGTCGAGCAGCGGCGCCTCTCGCCATCTCAGTCCCACCAGTACTTTGGAGAATCACCGGCTGTTCCCCACCACCGAGTCGTCCTCCTCCTACTCCAAATTTGGCCAGACGCTGGGCCAAGGAATTGGCGCCAGCGCCATCAGTGCCCCTCTGCAGAGGAGCTTCAGTCACGAATCCATTTCGGTGGGCGCTCAACAGAATTCGCTGATCAACAACAACCTCCTAAGAGGACCTCAAGTCCAAAAAACTGAACCGGAGAGGAATGTAAAATACAGAGCCTTTCCCGATGCTTATGTGAGTATCACCGCTGAATTGACGACCCAACAACGTGAACACAAATTTTTTTTTTTTTTTTTTTTTAAACACGGAATCCTTGGATAAAATTCATGGTTGTCTGCACACGCAGTCAACGCTTTCGTTAACTTGTGCCGTCGACTTTTTCGAGCAGGTGTGTGCCGCATACCTGTCGTCCTTTGCGCAGCACGCGGCCATTGCAATTATAAAAGAAAAAAAAAAAACAACTAACAATAGGTTGACTTTTAGACTAGGTGAGGCACGTGACATCATCTGTGGGTTTTATGCGCCGTCACCCACTTTTTTGCCACACTGTAACGAGAGCACCACAACAAGCAATCGAGTCCAGATTCCGGCTACGCCTAGTGCCGTATCCAATGAATGAAATAACCACGGGCGTGCATCACCAATGGCTCTTGTTGTCATGGTGCGATTTACGCTTTGCATTCCTTGCAATGGACTGAATAAGAATTACCGGGAATGGCAACATTACAGGAACAAACGTGGGGGGGGGGGGGGGGAGAGAATTGCATTGAGACTTGTATGCACGAGTTCCTGCACGCAAGCTATTGTCGGCATTTTCTTGACAATGGTATACCCGCACTCACACTTATCGTCAATCATGAACTCTTTCGGGGACAGCGGGCATGACAGTGCGCTGCCTATCAGGTTACAGGTTATCATGATTGGTCCATTTTTTTTTTTTTTTTTTTTTTTTTTTTTTAGTTGGATTTCACTCGTCACTGCAGCCATCGCCAAGTATTTTGGGAAGGCGAAGCTGTTGTGAGAAACCCAAATGGCTGTGGGAAACTGTTAAGTGGCAAAACCAGATGATCAGATCAGACTCCTAATATGCCATTTGCACAAAAGGAGTGTCGGCTTCGACCCACGGGAATACTGAACGGCTGCCACCGGTAGTTTTCAGAGCAATGTTTGCACGAGTTAAGTCAACAGCCTCTGCATCTTAAGTCCTGAAGAGCGGCCGCGCAGTGAAAGTGGGACAAACTTTCAATATGCCCCGCTGATAAAATGGAAGAGGCTTAAAGACACAATGAAAACTACAAACTATTAAGCCCGAGCCCGTGTGTCAGGAACGCAGTGTTGTTGCAAAGACACAAAGCATTTTAATGGCCTCTATTAACTTGACGGCTGATTACAGGTAACCACCCACACGCAAATGCGTTTCGTCGAGTTTGAAATCTTGAGTGGCCTACTGTAAAGGAATGACAGCAAAATGCTTTGCGCCGGTCGTACAAATATGCTAGCTTTGTAAAATTTTCCGGGGAGTCATGCCGTAATTGGTATACTCTATGGGCAGACATCCAGGAAGTTGAGTTTGTTTTATTGTTACAGCGCAATCGTACAATGCTGTGAGTGCGCACAGAAACAATTGGAGGGCGTGTTGTGCAGGCGCCGACTTCACAGCGTTGATGTGCTCCTGGGAGACTTTAGTATGCGGCGAGACCACCTCCTTTCATGGTCTTCAAAGGAGCCGCTTTGATTGACCTAAGTCGGCGGTGAAAACTCCCACAGCGGCGCTGCCCTCCCTCTCGCATCCCCATGAAAATAGAAATAAATGCAGCGCCGCATCTCGAACTTCACGTGAACAATTTATTCTTTTCCAGTGCAAATCGACATCGAGAAAGGCACGGCTGGCTGAATTCGGTGCGAAAAAATGTAGCTTGATCCAAAAGGTCTGGAATAATGTTCGTAGTATGTACGGATTAGTCAAGATGAGCATTTTCAGCCAACCCCTGTACTTGTAAGCAAAACCTTTCTCCGTGTTGAATGTGTACCCTTCTGACGGGAGTCAACAAGGATGCGATTTATAGCTTGATCCTCCTCCTTTGTATACGAAGGGGAAACCGGTGCATGCTGGGAAACCAGGAAGCGCAGCGTCCACCTCGCGGCCGATATTGCAGCTTGCCAACGCTTTCTAAAGATGACATTCTGCCAACCTCGTCGTGCATTGAAACCATCACTGACACAGCTGGCTTCAGGGCACATGCCCGACTTTTCTCTTCTCTTTCTCTGTCGCTGTCAGCAATGTTCTCTCCCCGCTCCACACCCATTTCAGCTATCTGTCTCGCTCTTTTTTTTTTTTTTTTAACCCAGGGCCACACCCCGACTTTTGTGTTTGCCTTGCTCTCATTAATATTAGATGAAGTCGACTTGACAGCTGACAAAAAAATGATCACATGGTTCGTCTGATTTGTTTTTGTTCAGTAGGTAAAGGTTGACATTCGCTGATGCTGAAATTGCACATTCCACTTACGCAGGAAACATTTCCTGGAAAGGCTTCTTTGAGTGTTTTTTTTAGTATTGATTTATTTGGCATTAAACGGTACAGCTGTTTGACCTTCATAGGTCACATGCATTGCTGAGGGAAAAAAACTTTGACAAAACTGTTTTTATCAAGGGATAGTTCACCGGACAAAACGATGGAAAAGAAAAAAAAATGAATGTGTGTGTGCTCCATCTAGAAATGGTAAATTAAGAATAAGTACATTCACGAGATGCAATTTTCATCCTGGCCAGGCATCTCATGTGCTGCAAAGAGAGCGAGGCGCTTTTGGACTATGAAACGTAAAGTTTTCTGGATGTGAATAAGTAAAATGTTCTGTTACGCCTTCCGTACTTTCAAATGTTATTTCCGTGGGATAATGTTTACATTTTTTTTTATTATTATTATTATTTTTTTCCATCTATGATTGGCAAACCCGCCTCACATTTCTGAAGTAGAGAGTCGGTATTTGCATCATACCCGATACTGAATAGACACACATTAAAAAAAAAAATTGCACACCAGGCCATGGATCGACTAGCAACCGCTTTGGACACACGCAAACATTCCGCAAGCAGACAAATAACGCGTCGATGGTGAAACACACAGCGACCCCATTCATGGGTTGTCGCTTCGGTGTCGTTATCAGCACGCGGGACACTGCGAGGCATCAGGTTCGGCGGGTAAAGATTAATGATTACTTTGTGTGTCAGAGAGATGTGGTCGTGGGGAAGAGAAGTTCCTTTTAACGCCGATGCCCTTGAACTTCAATAGGGGGACTCATCCAGTGCCCTACCGTAAAAAAACAAACAAAAAAAAAAAACAAAAAGATGTATATATTTATAGTTCTTGTTTGATATGCATGCCTGAAGAGTGCCTTGATGACGTTCTTCTTGCTGATGTATTAATAGCGATGTATGTTTTTTTGCCCGTAGCTCACCAAAGAAAAGGAACATGGGAAGCTCAACCCTCGTCCCGGGAAGGTGAGTCCCTCCGCAAGCTTTCGTAAAGCGAGCGTGCGAGTCCACATTCATAGCTGACATCTGCTGTTAAACTCAACTGGAGCCAAATTAAACAAAAAAAAAACAAAAAAGATGTATAGATTTATAGTTCTTGTTTGATATGCATGCCTGAAAAGTGCCTTGATGACGTTCTTCTTGCTGATGTATTAATAGCGATGTATGTTTTTTTGCCCGTAGCTCACCAAAGAAAAGGAACATGGGAAGCTCAACCCTCGTCCCGGGAAGGTGAGTCCCTCCGCAAGCTTTCGTAAAGCGAGCGTGCGAGTCCACATTCATAGCTGACATCTGCTGTTAAACTCAACTGGAGCCAAATTACGGCTGCGAGGTATCTGACTTGAAAAGGATCAAACTTACGACCAGTCAGAGAGTCATTCAAAACGTTCTTAAAGTACTTGAATGTTCTCGGTGAAAGCATTCAAACCGGAAAAAAAGAGAAAACAATCCTTGCCCCAACGCCTGACTTCGTATTTCCATCCATTCATCCATTTTCTAATCCGCTTCTCCCTCACGAGGGTCGAGGGGTGTGCTGGAACCTATCGCACATCCTGAACTAGTTGCTAGCCAATCGCAGGGCTAACTTAATACTTTGATGGCAAAATTTACTTGATTTCCAAGATATTGGTTTCCTTTTAAAGATTTTAAAATAATTTGATCCAGTTCGCCACGTTAATGTTATTATAGTAAAGGTTTCAAACCGTAAAAAATAGAAAACAATCCTTGCCCCAACGCCTGACTTCGTATTTCCATCCATTCATCCATTTTCTAATCCGCTTCTCCCTCACGAGGGTCGCGGGGCGTGCTGAACCTATCCCACATGAACTAGTTGCTAGCCCACATGAACTAGTTGCTAGCCAATCGCAGGGCTAACTTAATACTTTAATGGCTTAATTTACTTGATTTCCAAGATATAGGTTAAAGATTTTAAAAGAATTTGATCCAGTTCGCCACGTTAATGTTATTATAGGGTTAGGTTGTGCCTTATCTTCAAGGGAATCGTTAGCTAGAGCACATTTGGACGTTAGCAAACGTTGACATATCGCCCCTCAGAATATCGCCAAAATTGTGATTGTAATTCCTGTGCACTTTTTTTGTTTGTTTGTTTTGTTTTTTTGTGCAGGTGTATATTTTTGACCGGCCCGGGATGTGCGGCCAGAGGATCGAGTTGTGCGGCGATATTGCCGACGCCACGTCCTGGGAGCTGCAGGAGACCATTTCCATCAGGGTGGTCCGAGGAGGGTAGGAGACCGATGACGTCGCCGCTTTTCACGTGTCTTTATGCAAACCAGCTAACGAACATCTTTGCAATTTCCCTCATGCCGAATGCAAATTGCCTCGTCGCTAAAATGCAAATCTGTCAGCGCTCATGTCAAGTCCACGCCTTGCTTCTTGAGAAATTTGAGTTATGTAGTCACCCCCCCACCCCCTCCCCTCCCCCCAGATGGGTTCTGTATGAGCAGCGCAACTTCAAAGGAGAGAAGATCGCCCTGGATGAGGGCGACATCGAGCTCACCTGCCCTTTCCAGCAACCCGAGGCGGAGGGCGAGCAGCAGACCAATGGACAGAAAGTCGCCGAGGAGCAAAAGGGTGAAGAGAACGGAGAAACGAGCGAGGGACAGACCAAAACGAAAGCAGCCAAGAGGTCCATTATCGGATCTGTTCGACGGGCAGTGAGGGTAAGCGCAAGTCAGGTTTCATTTTGTGGCTGTCGATCTTGTTTGTATTACGCAATGCACTGATGCAAGTGGAAAAACTGAACACATTATATCTTCTGCGTTGGGTCATTACTACTTTTTTTTTAATGTCAATACTTGACAGATTGGTACAGTGAAGCGGCACACAAACTGCCTTTTTGAAACGTAGAATTAGATTATGAATTGAAACTCGTGTGAGCCGTTTGATTCTTTCAGTCAGGTTTATTTTGGGATTACACTTTACAATTCAGTTGATGAGACCTCCTTCGCAATGTTTTGCTGTGAAACGATGCGAGGTGTGTCAAATACACAATGTGCCAATATGTAAGATGGGCTAGTGACATCTAGTGGTGAGGTGGACCTCTTCACCTGCGAGCTGGTCAAAGTGGCCTCGTCTGATGCCGTGAAAAATCCCTTTGAGCTGCTTATGATGTCATCGTGAATATACAGCCACTTCCTAAAAAACCCTTTTCCGGAAGTCATTTGGAATGCACATATATGGTCGCAGAGACGAATGCCACGTGCGATGCGTTTCACTTCCGTTCTTGCCTCTCACCCTCAAGGACTACAGCGTCCCTGAAATCAGTCTTTTCCCAGAGGAGAACGCCGAAGGGAAGAAAGTCATCTTCAGAGATACGTCGGAGGATGCGAGAATTTTTGGATTCCCCATCAAGGCTAATTCCATCATCATTAATGCCGGACTGTGAGTTAATGGAGGAAGGGCGTTTTCGGAAGTGAGGTGTGACAGCATGATGATTTTAGTTGGACTCATGGCTTGGGATTACACTTTACAATTCAGTCGATGAGATCTCCTTCGCAATGTTTTGCTGTGAAATGATGCGAGGTGTGTCAAATACTGTACACAATGTGCCAATATGTAAGATGCGCTAGTGACATCTAGTGGTGAGGTGGACCTCTTCACCTGCGAGCTGCTGACGAGACCAAAGTGGCCTCGTCTGATGCCGTGACAAATCCCTTTGAGCTGCTTATGATGTCATCGTGAATATACAGCCACTTCCTAAAAAAGCCTTTTCGGGAAGTCATTTGGAATGCACATATATGGTCACAGAGACGAATGCCGCGTGCCATGCGTTTCACTTCCGTTCCTGCCTCTCACCCTCAAGGACTACAGCGTCCCTGAAATCAGCCTCTTCCCGGAGGAGAACGCCGAGGGGAAGAAAGTCATCTTCAGAGATACGTCGGAGGATGCGAGAATTTTTGGATTCCCCATCAAGGCTAATTCCATCATCATTAATGCCGGACTGTGAGTTAATGGAGGAAGGGCGTTTTCGGAAGTGAGGTGTGACAGCATGATGATTTTAGTTGGACTCATGGTCGTACACAGGTGGTTGGTGTTTTCGAAACCCTTTTTCGAGGGCTCGCCGCGCGTGTTGGAAGTCGGGGGGTATTCCAATCCTGCCTCCTGGGGTGTCGAGCAACCCTATGTGGGGTCGTTGCATCCGCTCAAAATCGTAAGTGCATGCAAATCCGCCACAAGTCTGCTTTTGTTTTGAAATTATGTTGACGTATGGGCAGTAATAATTGGTGTTCCTTTTTTTTTTTTTTTTTTAACCAGGGGGAACCAAAAGTGGAAAACATAAGTGAACCAACGGTAAGAAAGCACACACAGAGTAGATATTGCATCTGGTACTAATTTCTAGAGAGTGACATTGAGGTAAAGTTGTGATTACCGTGTGCTTTTCTGTTTTCAATACAGTTTTTGTTTTTTTTTTTTTTTGTCTGCAGATTGAGATTCCTCTTCCCGGAGGAGAACGCCGAGGGGAAGAAAGTCATCTTCAGAGATACGTCGGAGGATGCGAGAATTTTTGGATTCCCCATCAAGGCTAATTCCATCATCATTAATGCCGGACTGTGAGTTAATGGAGGAAGGGCGTTTTCGGAAGTGAGGTGTGACAGCATGATGATTTTAGTTGGACTCATGGTCGTACACAGGTGGTTGGTGTTTTCGAAACCCTTTTTCGAGGGCTCGCCGCGCGTGTTGGAAGTCGGGGGGTATTCCAATCCTGCCTCCTGGGGTGTCGAGCAACCCTATGTGGGGTCGTTGCATCCGCTCAAAATCGTAAGTGCATGCAAATCCGCCACAAGTCTGCTTTTGTTTTGAAATTATGTTGACGTATGGGCAGTAATAATTGGTGTTCCTTTTTTTTTTTTTTTTTTACCCGGGGGGAACCAAAAGGGGAAACAAAAGTGGAAAACATAAGTGAACCAACGGTAAGAAAGCACACACAGAGTAGATATTGCATCTGGTACTAATTTCTAGAGAGTGACATTGAGGTAAAGTTGTGATTACCGTGTGCTTTTCTGTTTTCAATACAGTTTTTGTTTTTTTTTTTTTTTTGTCTGCAGATTGAGATTTTCGAAAGGTCGTATTTCACGGGCAAATCAAGGATCCTCACCTCGAACATGAAAGATTTCATGACACGGGTGGACAGGCAGCAGGGCGCCTTCATGTACTCTGTGGGCTCCCTCAAAGTGCGCGGAGGAATGTGAGTTCCGGGTGAAAACGGTTGCGGGCCTCATCATCATCCTTGTCGCCATCGCAATACGTTGATTGCATTTCTTCAACCTGTGCGTGTGCGTGCGCGCATGTGTGTGTTAATGTAGCTGGGTGGGCTATGAGAAGGAAGGATATCGAGGCCACCAGTACCTGCTGGAGGAGGGCGAGTACCACGACTGGAGAGTGTGGGGAGGCTCAAACTCTGAGCTGCGCTCCGTTCGGGTCCTCCAGGCTGTAAGTTGGAAGGGATATATTGATTGCATTTCTTCAACCTGTGCGTGTGCGTGCGCGCATGTGTGTGTTAATGTAGCTGGGTGGGCTATGAGAAGGAAGGATATCGAGGCCACCAGTACCTGCTGGAGGAGGGCGAGTACCACGACTGGAGAGTGTGGGGAGGCTCAAACTCTGAGCTGCGCTCCGTTCGGGTCCTCCAGGCTGTAAGTTGGAAGGGATATATATATTTTTTTTATTCTCAAACCTCACCCATGAGTTTTAATATCTAATGATTTTTTTTTTTAATTGTAAGTTTGCAAAAGATGGAACGGCTTGCGATATTGTAATCAGGTCAAGGTACAACCGAAAAGTACAGGGCTAGAAATTTACTTGGGTTAAAATTTTTTTAAAGTAGCATGTACTGTGTTTCGCAACAGCAGAAAAAAATGGGACAAGTTTCAAAGTACAGTTTCTTTCATGAGGCCTCATAATGAAGCAACTGTACGTTTTTTCTCCTTTCAGTAAAAAAAAAAGAACGAAAAACATACTCGTGTCAATGCAAATAAAATTGACACATTAAAAAAAATGAAATCAATTCACATATATTAAAATTAAATTTTTGCAATGCATTTTTTTAATCCCCTATTGTCAATATTTTTACTTTTCAGGCACAGTCCAGTTTTAGTTGAACATTCAAATTCGCATTCAATCTTGAAATAGAAACCTTTTGGGTTGGCTGTCAATGACTTACAGATTTTTTTTTTTTTTTCATATTGCTGGCGGGTTCCGTCCACGCCGTGGTTTTGATCTACGCTCCACTTCTGGTTTCTGCAGGACTTGAGCGACCCCTTAATGGTGATGTTCGAGCAGCCAGAGGAAGAGGAGGGTGCCGTTGCCCAAGAGGAGAACACGTTCGAGGTGACGGAGGCCATTCCAGATGTTGAGCTTTTTGGCTTCAAGATCAACACCCGTTCAATCCAAGTCTTCAGTGGAGTGTAAGTCCAAACCGAAAGTCCTCTGTGAATGATATGGAGCAAATGTGAAGCGATTGTTGAAGAATTGCGTTGACACGCCGCCTCCCAGGTGGGTAGCCTACTCCCATGTGGACTTTTCCGGTAACCAATACATCCTGGAGAAAGGCTTCTATAGTACGAGTGCCGACTGGGGTTCCCGTGACACTCGCATCTGTTCCGTGCAGCCAGTTCGTTTGGTGAGGCCAGCGAGAAGCTGAAGATGATTGCCTGTATGTTAAAGTGCAGCTGCGGGGGATGAATATTAATTTTACCTTGTTTGGCTTTTAGGCTCCAGCTGACGGTAACAGGACCAGAAATGAGGTGAGTCTTTTAATTTTTCCCAACTTATTTTTAACAGCACCTTGTTCAATGTTCTAAATAACTCAAACGTGTGTATCACAGAACGTTATTGCGTTGATCGTATTCGTGTGGGTGGATCGATGTTGCCGGGGCAACTCATGCAAACGTCGTCAAATCTGATCCTACACTTTTTTTTTTTAATCCCACCGCCATGGTCTCCGCATCTCAATTTGCCTTTCTCAGATACTATTGTACTCAGAACCGGATTACAAGGGAGAGTGCCGTATCTTCAACTACAAAGAGGAAGCCGCAACAGAAGAATTCCAGACCAAGTCCTGCAGAGTTGTTGGAGGAAGGTGAGAGATTTGAAACCCACCACGATGTACACAAAGAAGGAATCTGTTGAGGTCTAAAATTAAATTCATCATTTTTTTTTCTCAGCTGGGTTCTCTATGAGAATAAAGACTTTTCAGGGACCATGTATGTCTTATCAGAAGGAGGCTATCGCTCATTAACAAGCATGGGCTGCCCACCAAACACCTTCATCCGCTCCGTCAAGGCTGTGCCGATGGTTGGATGAATTTATACACAAAATATTGATTGGATCTCTTCTGGCATGACTCTCAAGCTCCATCTCTCTTTGAGCAGAGTTTCTCAGTTCCATCCATCTCATTGTTTGGACTGGAAGGGCTGGAGGGAAGGGAGATCTCAACAGACTCTGAGCTTCTCAACATGCAAGCGGAGGGCTTCAATGACCACGTCCTTTCGGTCAGAGTCAACAGTGGCTGGTAAGATAATTTGTGGGTGTTGAAGGGAAGGAGATGAACATGAATAAAAGTAATAATACATTTTCTGAGGATTTCTGTTTTGTTGCTGTCGAATTGCATGAATTTAGAGGTGAACCGGGATTTAATATCTGATCATGAGGAGGTGCGGGAAGTGGGTGGAACTGAGATGTTGGGTTTCTTGGAGAGGTAGTGTTAGCGATGAAAGAGAATGCCATGTATATATTTTTTTAACCCAAAATGGCACAAAGGTGGAGGAGTGGGATGATGACGAGCAGGGGCCACAGGACAGAGCCCTGGGGCACACCTGAAGTGAGTGGGAATGGAAGAAAGGAAATTGAGCTGAATAGACAGAGTGCAGTCTTTGAGGTCTGAAGCAGTCCAGGGCAGTGTGAATGAATCCGGTATTAGTGATGCCACTGGAGGAGAGTATATTGAGGGGTATGCACGACTGTTTTGAGACAGAAAAAA